CCGAGAGGGCCGTTAGTGGCGTTTAGGGTCTTCCGGAGGCGTCGCCCCGGGAGCGCGCGGCCTCCGCCGGAGCAGCCCGAGAGGGCCGTTAGTGGCGTTTAGAGTCTTCCGGAGGCGTCGCCCCCAGAGCGCGCGCGGCCAGGTACGGTAGGTAAGTAAGTAGGTAAGTACGTAAGTAGGTAACCAAATAAGTAAACACGTAGCTAAGCAGGTCAGTAAGTAGGTAAGAAAGTATGTAAGTAGGTAAATAAGTAAGTAAGTAAGTAAATAAATAAGTAAGTAAGTAAGTAAGTAAGCAAGTAAATAAACAAGCAAGCAAGTAAATAAACAAGTAGATAAGTAGGGACAAGGAGCTGCCCACCCGCCGGCGCCCCAGTCAGTCCTTGAGGCTTAAGGGGAAATGCGAACTTTCTTGCAAGGTTTGGCACAGCTTTTGGATACCCGCAACCTTTCGGCTGAGATCCCAGTGTCCCCACTTTCTGAATTGGAACCCTTACTTGGCACAAGTAACTCGGAGGGTCTGAGGACTTAGTAGGTAGATAGTAAGTAGAGTTATACGTACCTTAATTCCAAGGCTCAACGGACGCTGATTCACAATCGGGCCCATGTGCAGCCAGGTTTCTCACTGTGCGTCCTACCTGAGCTCGCCGTCGACTCGGCTCCTTTCCGCGTGTTGCTGCTCCGCCGCCTCCGACTTCCTCTGCCGCTGGCCCCAGCCCGCTGCCGCTGCCACCGCCCGTTGGATGTGTTGGGTGAGTCATCATGTCGCAGCATGCCCTCGGTCCGGCACCTCACGACAGCGAGCTGGGCCGCTTGAACGGGCCGCTGCAGGTGTCTGCCGCGAAGCTGGCGCAGCTGTTGCTACAAATGCGCAGGTCCCCGACCTCAACCTCCACGCTGCAAGGCAGGATGGTCATTGCTAATGGCGTTCTTTTGTGGGTGGCTCTCAGCTCGCAGTTGACACCACCCCGGTCTCCCCACTGACGTCAGCTGTGAGGCCACCGCCGGCGCAGTCCCGGCAGAAGCCCGTCGAAGCAAGGAACACACCTACCCTGAGGCCGGGCAGGGGTCGCGGTGCCGCTTGGTCGTTCTCGGCATCGAGGTTGGCGGACACTGGAAGGACACCCGCTTCTGTTCCGCTTGTGCACGAATGGAAAAGGGCTGGGGGAAGGGGCAGCAGAGGTTCACCCGAGTGGGGGGCGCCTCTTGAGCACGTGCGCGACGAGCGAGATCGGGTAGGGGAGCGAGGAGCGGGGGAGCGAACCGACGCCGCGCGAGCGCCTGCGGTTGGCGAGCCCTTGGCGGGGAGCATGAGCCAACTGCGGGGCTGCGCCCCGTCGTGGGGGACGGTGACCGCGCGGGCCTGCCCCGCTCCGGCGCTTGCAGCTGTCCACCCGCAGCCTGCCCGTCTTGAAAAACGCACGGGCGAGGAAGGAAGCCCCCCTTAAGTAGCAAATCAAAATCCACGTCGCGTTCGGCGACCAAGCTTCTCGTCCCGGGACTTTGGGTAAACTGTAAGGCCGTAGGTCCGCTTCTTTCCACTCCGTCCACCGAGGCTTCTCATGTCGTTGCAGACCCACCTTCTCGCCGCAAAACAATCCCGTCAAACAGGTCCGTTTCTTTCCCTCGCTGCCCTGCAGCGAGACTTCCTTGTGCCGCTCCCGGTGTAAATAGTGCGGCCTTCGCCTCTGCACTGCCCGGAATTTATGGCCTCCGGTTTTTTCAAGTTTTTCTCTTATTTCCTGGCTCGTCGCCGCATTTCTTGTCCTTCCCTCTTCGCTAGTTACCCACTTCTCTTCTGGCCCCAAACCCCCTTAATTGGGCTCGGGACCCACGTCTGCTGGGTTTCAAGTTCCCCTTTTTCTTTGGGCCAATTTTGGCCGGCCTCTCTCGTGGAGTTGCCTGCAATTCTCTCCGGATGGAGCATGTTCGCCTCCACCACGGTCCGTTTCAGCCCCTCTGGTTTTTGTTTCCACACACACACACACCTTTTGCGAACGTGCCAACGCGGTCCCAGTGCAGCAGCCTACACGGGTAGTCCCTTTATACTGACCTCTAAGCAGCGGAGCCTCTAGACCGACACCAAGGCCCAGGTGGCGGCAGATCATCGGGCCGCGGGGGGCTGTCGAGTCGGTGCTCGGCGAGCACGTCGCTCAGGTCGGGGAGGGGGCCATCGACGTTGGCGGTGCCGTGAGGGGGCAGCGACAACAGGCTGCAAAGGACCTGGCGGCTGCGAAAGCGAATAGTCCGGACCATCGCTGCACCCATGCTGCAGTGCTGCTGGCCCGCAGGTGGGGAGGCGTGGACCGTGAGCACTACGAGGCGGCACCTCGGGGCATGCATGAGCTCGGGGTAGGTGCGCTCCTTGTTCGAGCGTGCGATGCGGAGGGCCGCGCCGACCGTGCTGTGTAGCGCTGCGGGCGGCCTCTTGTGTCGAGGGCCGAGACAAGTGTGGTGTCGACAGCGAGCTGGACCCCCCCAGAGCGGGAGCCCGTTGGCGATAACCCCGATTCACCGGTCGTCGTGCTGACGAGTGATGATGTTGAGATCGCGCAGCAGGACGTTTGCAGCGACTGTGGCTCCAGCTTCCCTGCGAACGCGCGCGGCAGCTCGTTCCAAAGGAATGCCTCGCCCGCGGAGGAGTCCAGCGCGTGGGCAGGCGGCCCTGTGATCCCCGAAGGGGTCAAGATGAGCGCCACAACGGCAGGTTGCAGTATCGAAGGGCAGGAAGGCGGAGTCGCCGGAGCAGGAGAGCACGATAAAGCAGCTGAGTCTAGCCGCAGCTCCGGGCATGTGGACACGACCGGCAAAAGGACCTGCCTCGGAGTGTAACAGGCAGTGCGCTGCGGAGGCCGAGACCCCCGTGGCGAAGCGGCAAATGAGCCCGGCGGGGAACAAGGTTGGGCAGTGGGTCCTCCGGGGCAGTGTGGACTTGCAGCCGCAGGGCCAAGCAATGCAGCACGCTGCGGTCGTGCTCCGCAGCAAACACGGCAGTGAGGGCTGGCGGGACGGCGCGGAGGATGTATTGTGCACGGGGGCTTGCGCAGTAAAGCAGCAGCAACCAAGCGACCTGGAGGTCGGGAAGAGTGGGAAGCAGCTCGAGGAAAGTGCGGTGCTGCGCCGAGAGGGTGTGAAGGTGCGCAGCAACGAACTCATCCGTTCCGAGTGGAGTCCCCACTTTCAGACCTTGCTGGTAAGCGGGCAGGCTGGTGTCGCCAACCCAGATGTGCACATGCTCAGACTCGGGGTCTGGTGGCGGTGGGTGCCCGGCCCTCCTGCATTCCAGACACGGGTTTTGGCGGCGTTGAGCCGGATGTGCGCGTGTGAGAAGAGGTGGTGCTCAAGGCGTTGCAGCAAGAAGGCGGTGCGGCAGGGCTGACTGGTGAGGTACGTGTCGTCGAGGAATGCACGCACGCTCTCGCCGGGCAGGAGGTTGGTCTGCATGGCACGCAGGGCGGGCGCGACCAGGGCGAAAAGGGCCGGCATGAGCGGGTCCCCTTGCTCGCCGCCCTGTTGGTAGCGTCCACACGAACTCTGACGGCGAACCGTAAAAGAGCCGCACAAATGGCAAGATGGCATTGGCATCGGGTGTGTCGCGGAGCGCTGTGAGCATGGCCTGCCTGCTTATTAGATCAAAAGCACCGACCCCATCGACTGAGAGCATGGTGAGCGAGGGGTCGCCGTCACAAGCGACTTGCACGGAATGCACGAGTGCTTCTGAGCCGGTACGAGTGGACAAGGCGTACTGGTGCGGGGCTGTGGCAGCCTCGAATGCGGGAGCAAATTGCTGTGCCAGGGTGCGCGCGACCAACCTCCGGAGAAAGTCGCCGACGACGCTGCCCCGAACACCTCCCGCAGGCTTGCTCAAGGCGATAATGCGCCCCAGGGAGAGTGCAGAGCGTCTCGGGTTGACCAATATAGCACTTGCTGGCCATTGCAATGGCTCTTCTTGGCGGGATGCTGCAACGGACCGCTTCGATTCTGCGCATGTCCCTGATCGGCACATCGATGTTCATTCCAGTGACACGGGTGTTGCGGGCGACACGGGTCTTGGAACCTTAACGGGGTGCGAGGGTCAGAAATAATCGGAATATCGCGCGGTTGTTTCGGGGCGGCAGAACCGCATGAGAACGAACGTGTCGAGAAGGAAGATGGCAGCTTGATGGCCTTCGTCCAACAGCGGAGCCTGCGATGACTTTCCGGCTGGGTGGGACCATGTGGGACCGACCACTCACTCCAGCTCCCGAACGCGCATCACGGCGAACAAAGTTTCGCAGTCTCAGGCTGCCGCCCGGTTGTCATTGTCTTGGCGTTTGAAACTGGTGGTTTATGCACCTTCCGCTTGTCCGTGTGTTTGCTCGAGTCCGTGCTCGCTCTGTGCCGGTCCCATCTCTTTCTGCCAGCACGTCTGCCCAAGTCGGCACTGCTCCCTTTGCGCCCAACCTGACTCCTTTGTCCAGGACGTGCCGAAGCGCGAGCGTGAAGGAAGCAAGCGCCGGCTTGCAGGCCCGGTCAGCAAGGCAGCTATCAACGAAATCTTTACCAGTCCGGCCCTGGCAGCCTGGCATTTGGTTGCGAAGCTTACGTGCGCAGCAAGTGATTGTGTCGACGGCATGCACGCCACTGCCGAGACGAAGACCGGTGGTGATGACTTGAATTTGCCCGTCGTCTGTTCGTGAGATGTGTAATAAGACTACTATCATTACATATTATATATTCAATGTAATTTCAGAAGTGCACCTGCGGCACCTCCTACAGACTCTGCAGAGCGCTCCGTGGCAGCGTGCCACCAGCCTCAAGGGAGGCAGCACAGCAAAAGCCTCCAAAAGGCGATGCCCGTCGGTCCAAGCAACGGGCGTGGGCAAACCACACACGCGGCGGGGACGGCAGCATCGTCAGTATACTTCGTATGTCTGTTGGCTCTCCAGACTGGCAGCTTGTGCAAAACGTACTGCGTGCGGGGTGTGGCAAACCAAACGACTTGGGTGTCTCCGAGCAGTGGCAGAAGTTGATGAGCACTGTCTGCGTGCCAGAACTGCGATGACGTGTGCTTCAGCGACAACACCAGGATTCCATCTGCATTGAAGTGTAGCCTGGGTTAGGACCGCCGAGGTACGCGTGCAGGATCCGGCAATGGTTTGTCAAGATGCAGACCTTTCTGTCGGCAAAGCTCGGCGAGGGCAACTGCACACCAAATGCAGCGTCAAAGACGAAAAAACTTGTGAGTGCGTGTTACCGATCCGGGTGGTTCGCCGCAGTCAAAGCAACACACAATTGGCGGCGTGGGTGACCCACACACCAGGCTTGACCAAACCCAAACGAGTGCCGAAAATACACCCGCTTCGGGCACGCATTTCCGAACCAGACGTGGCACTGTTTGCTGCAACTCTGCAACTTCTGAAGCATGCCCGGCCCCGCAACTTACATTCGATGTTCTTTCTTTTCGAAATCAGTGCACGTGCTCCCTGAGGATCACAGCCTCTTCTTGCACTCCCAAGCCAAGCCGATCCAAGCCGCCTCGGAAAAAGACCATGGTGTCGGGCCGTCTCGGGGCCTGTCTCGGCCAAGGAAAAGGACAAAGAAACTCACGTCGCGCAACTGGAATACGGAGTCCGCTGTCTGACACATTCGATATCAAGGCGGCGCAAGCAGTGCCCATGCACTTCGTCCGGGGGGCTACGGCAGGCGCATGAGCACGGAGCTCCGAAGCGCCGCGGAGACTTTCAATAATCTTCTGCTCGGGGCAGCACACGATGCCAATTGACGAGGACGGGAAGCTGAAGAGCTCACGCGTTTCCTGTGCGCATCAAGCTGTTTTCGATATGCAGTGCCAACAAGCGAGACAAACCATAGGAAAGTGAAGCTACGGCCTCTGACACGGTCGCTTGCGCTCCGCTGCATGTATCGGAACCCTTGGCGGAAACTCATCTCGTCAAATTTGCACACATATCACTGGCTCTTTGAATCTGAGGTCTCATCCGCTGCGTACTGCGCAAGCCCTGCGTCCAGCTCATCATTCCATGAATTTTACTCCGGCCAACTACCTTGCTTACAATCAAGACTGAACAGCACCTGTGCATGTCGAAGGCAATGTGTTGAGCTACGTTGCTGCTTCTGCTTTCGGGTGCACTTTGCCGCAGGGATGACAAACGTTTCCAAATCGGAATTTGCTTGAGCTAAGGATCCGAGAAAGACGTTAGGCTATGGCATCACGAGAGCATTCAGCCCAGTTTTGAGCACTCAATAGCAATCAGGTCATCGAACCAAGGTTCTGAATGAGTGTACACACAGGACAAGAAGCGAAACAAAGCGATGCAAGCGCACGAAATGATGCCAGTAGCACTTGATCTCTTCTCCTCTCCTTGAGCCTGGCCGCTGTCTTTATCCGCTTCCCTTCAATTCATTGCAAGGTTGCTTGATTTTTTGTCGCGGCTGCACCGACTCAAAACGAAAGTCATAGGCTACAAGAAGCATGGATTCCGGCGAACCATGTTCCGTTCTGCTTCTACGATGCATGCCATATCAGGCCGACTTCAAAAGCACCTAAGCCATCTAGCCTCCAAATAATGCTCCAGCTATTTGTCTGCAATGTTGATCGTTGTTTCATACGTCCTGCGTTTGCGGGCACTACTCGCGGCGTCGCCATCTCCATGCATCTTTTCACGCATCAGCCCGAATTCCACGGCCATCGTGCCGCATGTAGCCTGACAGAGATGAAGAATCGGCTCAAGCTGATCGGGCTTCGCTCGAGATGCCATAGATGCCCCTTCACCCTGCGCCTGGGTTTGGCGCTGCCTGTGTGAAGGCCGCAGCACGCAGACCTGAAAGGTTGCAGTGCTGGCAAAACCGGAAGCTCCCGCCATGCTGCGCTGCTGCCTGGACCGGTCGCGAGGCTGTGAGCCTCGGTGACATCATGGGAAGTGTCGCGTGAATTCTATGTACAAGTTTCGTTCGAGGCCGCACACCTCCACGGCAGGGAAACGGACAGGATCTGGAGTCACCTTCAAGTGGTGTGCAGAGAGCATCTCCAGCTCATCTCGAGTCTGGAGTCTCGAGGCTCGGGCTCTCCAGTGACTTGGCGCTTCCTTCAAATTCGATGCAACGGAAGGAAAGGGGAGGCTGAGCGCCGGCTTTCCGGGTACCTCGGAGGCTCGGGCGGCTCGGGCAGCCGGAGCACTGCCGTAGACCACCGAGGGCCTCAAAGCCGGCCACTGCAGTGGGCCGCAAGCAGAGATGCTCTCTGCGCTCACTTTCGATTTCGCCAAGTCCGCTGCATGGACTCGTGAGGCACCCCTTTCTTCCGATTCCTGTGGCGGCTGCTGCCCACTGGAGATAAGAATTTCGGCTTGCGGCTGGGGCCACGACACCTCAGCACTTCTTGGGGCAGAAGGCACATTCCTGCCAACAGCCTGGCACAACACCGATTCTCTGACCACATGACTGCCACCTGGCTGAAGGGGAGCAGTGAGCCCACGTGGCCCGAAGCTTCTGCACGCGGGTTGGAGCTGAGATTCCAGTAGGGAGCAGACTTGGCGCGAAACCAGAAGCTTCTCCTGGTCCACATCCTGGCTCAGGCCGGCTTCCGAAAGAACGGCACCTCTCTCATCCACCCTCCTTTCTACAATCCAGTCCTGAAGCTGCTTTTCGAGATCTGCGATGTCCTGCCAAGACCTCGCAAAGATTCCAGACAGTTTCAGTGTAACACTGACCCGCTGTTTCGAAGACTCCGCACTGCCTCAATCTTTCCGAGCGCATCGACAGCAGCTTGGCTTTGTCTGCCTTCGGCAACAAGGTCTTGAACTCAACCTTCATCCCAGCATTCTACAAGGCCGCATCCTAAGGTGCACAGGTGCCAAGGTTTGGGAGTCGTGAAGTTTAAGTTCCCATTTCTTTTCCGAATCTTTCTTTACTGCCCGTCGTCACAGCCGGCATTATGAGGATCAGCAGCCCGGGTCGATTAGTGAGCGCTGCTTCTAGGAAAAGCTTTGGTGTCCTTTCGGTCGTAAACACGGGCTGGCGCCAATGATGCGCTGCAAGAGCCCGCGCATCATGCGCATCATCGGTTATGTGTTTCTCCTGCTCACCTCCCGTTCTGGCCGCGGCACAGTTCTGAAAGCACTGGTTGTCGGTGCTGGATGGTCGCAGTAGCACTTCACCCATTCTTCCCCACCCACCCGCCCTGATTGCTTCTAATGCTGAGACGTGACTCCACGAGGGATCTGGGGGTCTGAGCTAGTTGCCAGAGCGCGCGGGTAGGACTGCTTTCAGGTGCCATCACTGTTTGCGAGGCAGTGAAGACAAACCGACAGAACGTAACACATGAGCCTCGAGTTGGACACAGCTGGAACTAGCAAACCCTACATGAAGAAGCAGCGGCGGGGCTAAACCCTAAAAAAGCTGAGGAGTCGTGGCGACAACGAAAAACCAAGAGATCACAGCTTCGACATTTCATCTTAAGTAAGCTGCGAATCACGAGTAATGGCGATCAAGTCTTTCCCAAGATTTTCGGAACGGGCGCCAGCTGAACACGGCCAACTGGCCTCGATGGCGGTGAGGGCAAGGCCCCTGTCTTGCTCGCATTGGCGCTGCTTCTCCAGGAGCGCCTTCGACACAGAGCATGTTCTGGCAGCTAAGACACCTGGGCCTAATACTCACATGCTCTCTCTCGCCCAGCATCTCTGCTTGAACGAAAAAGTACAAGTAGTAGGAGGAAACGCTTGCGGAACCGTCAAAGAGGAGATTTGGAGGCCTGCTGCTTCGTCTGGGCTTCGAGCTTCTGCTCGAAGACCCTGAGACATGGGCTCTACAAGACAGGCTGGCAGTGGCTGGCAATGGAGTTGCGGCAGTTCCTGCTGCCTTTCTGCTCAACTCTAGAATCACATTTCAAACTTCAGCTCTGCACGAAGCCACTAGAAATCAGAAAGGCACCGCGCTCGAACTCTCTGCAAGGCCCGCGTTGTAACAGCTTTCACTTGCGGCGAGTCTCCGTTCTAGCTTTCCGCGGAGCTCCTCTGCCAGAGGCGAAGCAGTAGAGATGTCACAGTCGTTAGTGCAGGAAAGACTCCAATTACGAAATGTCAAGCTGTTGTCTTGACGAAAAGTGGCTTATATGGGCTGTTGAGAACGCAATACGCATTACCCCCGAATAGGACCGCTTCTTCCCAATCTCCTCCACTGCCTTCTGGTCTTTGAGCAGCAGCTCCCTTTCGGCTTTCACCTTTGCCACAACTTCGAGTGCACCCACTTCCACTAACTTCTTGATTTCAGGACGCAAGGAATGGCGCCAAAACAACAACTGCAGAAACTGCTCCTCTCATGATCGCAAAGAGTAGGCGACTGCATCCTGTCTCAACAAAACAAGCCCGCCTTTGTCAGGACGTCGCGTCTCTCCTCCTGAGGGTCGGAGTACCTTCAGCAACAAGCAGACAAGCACCTGCTGCAAATCATTGAATGCGTCACGACTGTCGGCTTCATCCTTTGACTTGAAAGCTCAGCGAGCAGTCTTGCATCACTGTCAAGCAGCGTTCTGCTAACGCCGCCTCCGTTTATAAACATTCCGCAACCCTTCCGTCTGAGTGTTCCAGCGGCGCTGGCATTCTCCGCATCTCCTGAAACTTTCTAAGCTCTTGCACATTTCACAAGAGACTTCTGCTGTCCTTGTCACCCAGGCCACAGGCCTGTCGAAGGGCATCCAAGTCCTCGGCCGTTCACCCGGTCAAAGGCGAGACTCAAGAAGTCAGCTCCAGCATAGCGAGTCTCATCTCATAATGCAGCATATTGCACTCTGCATGCTCACCAGAGCCGGAGGCACGGATGATTCAAATTCTATCACGGACGACTTGCTCGAGCGGCCACAGGCAAGCTACATTACACAAGCTGAACTCACCCCCCCAACTCGCAAAGAAAAGACGGCGCAGGCCTCCTCCACAGTCTTGACTTCGCGTGTCACGAAGACCAACTCATCCTGATATGTGTGTGTGTGTGTCATCCCTGTGGGAACGCTTGACAAAGCTGCGAATCCCACCTGCAGGTATGAAATCCGACACTTGGTCGCGGCACTCTCCAACTCCACTCTGCGATGGCGTTCCTGGACCTCGTCGCTCACAGGGAGGTTTGGCACTGCGAGTTCAGGATGGGACCTCGTCCAGGCGTCCTTTGGCCGCTCGCAGCGCCTCCTGGCGAGTTCGCCGCAAGGCAAAGAGCCAAGAGAATGTCCCAAGAAGGGCGCGGTGGCACGGCGGCACGCCACGAATTGCCTTAAGCCTGAAGAGCGCGAGCTACACCACGCACCTCGAGTTCGCGCCGTCGGTCCAGCCTGGCTAGAGAGGTACGGCGTGGAGCTTGGTCTGCTTGCACTGGCGTTGCCCTTCCCTCAGCAGCTCGCCGATTCTCCAGACGTCGGCGCTCCTCCAGGACCTGTGCAGAAGGGGTTGCGGCAATGTGCGGCACATGCGACACAGGTCGGGGCACCATCGCTGGTCAGGTGATATCAAGTGTTGAAAGCCCGTAAACTTCGTAAACACTGACGGGAGCGATAAGGGGAATCTTCAGGCCAGTGATGTTACCCGCGCCCCAAGCCCCTGAAAAGGGTGAGCGACGGGTAGCAAACGCCAAATGCATGCGTGTCTCAAGCGGTAGACCCTCGCAACAATGCTTGGTAACCGTAAATCCCAAAGAGACTGACAGATGGCAAACCCTAAATCTGAAAAGGCAGCGACGCGCAGAAAACAAACGCCAGACAAGCTGGTGGTTCTACCTGGGACCTAGTACCCAGCAGTCCCAGCCATACGTTGCCTAAAACCATTCCAGCACTCCAAGCTCCCAAGACCGCTTCATGGCCCCAAAATGTGGACAGATGACGGGAACGCAAGTCTTAGCTCGAATTATATACCTGCGGGAATGCCGGGAGTAGCTGCGGAAACATGAACGATTTCGGGAAGTGGAAATTGCACGGGACTGTGCTGGCAAGACGAGACACACGCCCAAATACGTGCAGCACTGAGGCGGTAGCGTACAG